TTTAACAAACGTACCACCAAATAATACTGTAACTGTATATTTAAAGTTTCCTATTTCAGTTTTAGCTTTTAATATAATGTATGACTTTTAGATCCTAAATTACATGATTGATGAGCAATAAAAGGATCAAATCTGGAGTGCAGCTAAAATGCAAAGATTTTAAATCTAACTGGGAACTAATCTTCAGGCTGGGCAGAAATGACATGCATCTCTCTCTCATTACTTAATGCTCCATTATTGAAAGCCACTGAACTGTCGATTGAACACTGAAGGTAGAACAAGATATTTCACAATAGACTTCATGAAATGTTAATTGTTACCGGCAGGTGTTGTCAGCACATTTTCTTGCAATTCAGCTGACTGAATGGATGACATAAGCACGGCTGCCTTGTTTCTTTTATTGTGTAAGACTGCCTATTGCCCTTCAACAAACTGATGAAAAAGTAAATTGCAGCTTGCAATTCTTTGAAAGCAAAATGTGAATTAAGTGTTCCATTGTTTCTTGACGTAGTGATTGCATAAAATTCTTTTAACTATTATTCTGACAGAATGGAGGTGGACGGTTCTTGACATTTTAAACCAGACAAATATTTTCAAACTTACCTATTTTGGATTTTAACAGGGGGAGGATGTGGGACACACAACCAGTGTACCAACCGGAGGCTTGAGAAACACTGATTGCCTGCATCGCCTCCCAGCATTTATACTGTCTTCCTTCAAATAATCTCTGTCTCCCACTCTGTTTCCCCATCAATCACTATCTTTTCTCACCAAATCCAAAAACATTCCAGAAGCAATCGTCCCCTCACATAACACTCGCAACCCTGACGACTGCATCTTCTGTACCTGCTCTTTGCTTCTAGGTTTTAGACTTGTGCTGCAGGCTTTCTTGCCTAACATACAGTATTTATAAAACAGCCTGTAATTAATATCTGCAAAATGTCAGAAAAGCTATATCTCCACGTTTCCCGTCCAGAATGCCTCTCACCAGCAACCCCCAATCTCAAATCCCTCACTCCAGCAACTACTGAGGGCAATGTATATACATAAAACTCATAAATGCTCATAATTACAACATTTTATCTTCTTATGCAAAGCATGGTTAACAGCTGGACACTCAAAACAAACAATACCTAGCAGCACCAAGCACAGATTTCCCAATTCCACAGGCTTCAGAGAAAAAGAATGTTTTGTGCCAGTGAATTTTCTGAATACCAACTACTAAAGTTCTTTGTAATGTCAGGGGAGAAGATTAGTAGGGCCGGGTGCTTTCCCAACAGTTTATAGAGTAGAGATGACAAAGCATGAAAGATGTCAAACCAAAGATGTTCATTATGCACATCTACTCAACCAGGCCATGCAAAAGAAAACCTTTTAGTCTCAGAATGCTGGGGAACTGAACATGTGCATTGGCCCACTCATGCCAGTGTTAGGTCAGATATATTGCAAAAACTAGATCTGACAATGGAGTCGATTTTAACTTCCTCCACCAGGTGAAGCACTCTCATATGGGAACAGATTGGCCACATACTACACAATGTTTTTTTTTACCTTTAAAGGGACATATAACAAGTGACTGCTGTGATACCTAAAGCATGGAATCATAGGACAGTTACAGCACATCACTGAAGGAGTTCATTCAGCCTTTTCTGCCTGTGCTGTCTCATGTATGCAACCCTGACAAGCAAGTGAGGATAGACACTGTTCAAGTCAATGAGTGCTGACCTTGACCAAACCTCAAAGGTGGTAATCTTGTAATGACTGAGCTGGCCAAAATTCACCCACCTCAAGACTCAAATGTCTCTTGAAAGAAACAATGAACCAGAAATTTTTAATGCAAGTAACAAATTAGTCAGCTTTTGCCATCAATATTTAACTGAGATTGACAACAATGTCTGGAGTCCACACATGTACAGAATAAAGTGGGAATCTACAGGTTGTTTTCCAGTGGAATTATTATCATCTACATCCTGCAACTGCACTCATAAGACTGATGGGAACATCAATTCATACATTGCTATTATCACTGCTAAGATTTTTGATTATAATTTTAACAATGCAATTAACAATTAATTATTAGTGCTCATCAATGCCACGAGCACTGAGAAGTTAAGTTTACACTTGTCAAGTTTCTGTATAAGGATTAAATGCCACAGGCTTTTAAAATGATCAATGCAAACTTTTCACATTATTGTAGCCTCCATTTTAATCCAATCATGAGTATGTTGTTATTAATTGAAAACTTTAAAGAAAATTTAGGAATTTTTGAGTGCTTTTAACCACCTTACTTTGTGCATGTGAATATTTGGGTTGTCAGCCAATTGGCACCGTTGGTAGCATTCCCAAGTGAGTCAGAGATTATTTGTTAAAATTTTTCTCCAGGACCGATGTATAAAAATCAATGATTTTTCAGTGCAGCACTCAGGGAGGCTCCTATCAGTTCCAGTATCCAATTGGCTAGCTCTCCTTGTATTCCATGTTTTCTAACCTTGCTTACCAGTTTACCATGGGGAACCTTGTCAAACATCTGAGTGAAGTCCATATAGATCACATCCACCACTCTTCATTCATTAATCCTCTTTGTTACTTCTTCCTTGCATTAGAAATTCCACACAAGCTTGTATTACCTAAAATCCTAGTACTGACTTTCTCAGATAATATTCGTAACCAACTACCCAGCACTGAATCATTCCTCTTATTCTGAACTGCATCGTCTCCAGGACATCAATATCCTTTTGAAGGTAGATTACTTATATGCAATTTCCTGCTGTTGGTCACAATCTAGTAAACGTGTATTGGAAGGAGCATCCATTTTAAATATGGGTAAGGCTTTTTTGCTTCATGTCTGGGGACTGAAGTGAAAAGAAAAAAGCCAACATTTTCTGATTCATATTGCCAAAGTCAATGACTTCCAGTGGGTGAATATACCAGATAATCTTTTTATTACATGCACATAAAGGCACCAGTTTAAAAAGCCTGTATGACTAAATTTTGCAATTCCATCCATAGTTCCATGAAAACCATAAATTAGTGGCTGACAACTCATTTGAGTCAGTCTGGAAAACATGTATTGTGAACAAGTATGAAGGGGAGGAGAGGCTCGGACTTGGTTGTCATATCCTTTTGATTAGCATTAAGCTGCTGACAATCACTCTCATAGCTTAAATGTCTCTTGAATATTGCATAGCTCGGGAGGAGTGGGCCTCCTGAAAAGGACAGAAATGGATGACAGCAAGAATAAATGTAATTGTTGCAGTTTGAGACTGAAACTTGAGTAACCCATTTTCACAGCTATCAGTTATCTGCACACTGTACCTTATATTGCCGTTTTCATTTCCGATACAGTCTGATCTGACCTTGGTCATGGAAATATACTGTAAATAGACCGTATTGTTGGCCTGCATGCGTATGAGTGTGCAACTGAAGGATTTTATTGTTTTGTTATCTGGGCATGTTTATGGCTACACTGTTTTGAGTCAGGTGTATGACTATCTGTCTAGAATCTTATAGCACATTGTGTATAATTCTTCAGAAAACTGGTAGTCACAATAACTTGTTTCTCAAAACCCAAGCAACTTAATATTTTGGTCGTAATGGAATTTCTTTCTCAAAGAGACATTTAAAAATAAACAGTCCCAGGCACTAAATTGCAATCTTTCAGGGAAGCAGTTCAATGTGGTTAAAAGAACTTAAGAATATAAAATAGCCTCTTGGGCCTGCTCTGCCATTTATTAGAATGGCTGATCCTCTGCCTCCATTTCATGTTCCTACTTGCTCTCCATATCCCTCTATTCCCTGAAGGACGAATAATCCCTAAACTTCAGATTTGCCGAATGCTCAGATATGTTGGAGCATTCAAGGGATCAGAGTTTTTTTCACCTTGCAGGTCCAAGATCATTTCATAATTCCTCTCCATGTAAGAAGTATTGTTTACATCATTGAAAAAGACAGTTTTCTTTTGCCTTCAAGAGGTATTTCTCTATAAGCCAGGGCACTTTTTTTTTTGGCCTTCTCCCCACCCCTCCCCGCTCCCCCCCCCAAACTCCTGTCTTCTAATTTGACAGAAACTGGTTTCCCTCTCATTTCTGGCCCAGGTGCCCACTGTTTATGAACGAGGCAAAACATTGCTCCTGATCTCTCTGGATGCCTGCACGAAGCATCTGCACAGCTCAATGTTCAAACACAAATACATTTTCCAGCAATGACCACTGGAAAGTGAGGGAGCAACTCCGCCCACTACCGTCTAGTTAATGTTAAATAAAACATCTCCTCCATTACCTGGCTACTTCAAACAACGAAAGTCACTATCAAGGCTTTACTGGCCTAAGTTTGTGTTCTACAGGTCTGCATCCAGGAATAGTTACAAGTGGTGTCATCTGTGAAGCTTTAAGGACATCTCTATTTTGGTATACAGTTGAAATAGTTACTAACCGCAGTTAAAATTACTAGGATTTGTAGCTTTCAAAAATAGCACTGCAAAACCCATTTTGAAACAGGCCTAAGAAAAAGCAGCAAATTCTGGTTGCTCAGGACGTTCCCCAGGAACATGTTCACTCTCCATTTAAAGCAAAGTCACTGATTCCCTATTGTTACAGCAACTCAAACTACAACTTTATGGCTTCTGACAAAAGTGAATTTGCCAGAAAAAAAAAAATCGAAAAGATGAACAGATGGAAGTTCCACAGTCCAAGGACCCCAAACAGACTGAACGATTTCTCTGTTCAAGTTCCAAGTGGCACACTCCATGACTGTAGTGCACAAGTCAAGAGCAGAAAAATAAGATGCAAACCAGTAATCATAAATTTCAAAAATAGCATATTAACAGGCCCATCCAAGTCTAGGTTGAAAGCACTCCATTGCCTCATTGTACCTCTGTAACTGAAATGAAACTGTTAGGGGACAAGTTGGACCTCTGGAACAGAAGAGCACCTTACACATTTTGCATTGCACTGTAAATGGATCTAGGCATCTCATGACTGGCTGACCAGGGTCCACAATATTCACTGACAGGTGAAATCATTCAATACCTGCAGGTTTAAAGTAATTTTTAAACAATGTTTACATTTTCAAGGGTTTATATTTGTGAAGCCACATGTTGGGGTCACCAAGATATCATTGCAGCTACTTCATTAATGACCTTCCTTTCATTATCAGACCAGAAGTGGGTATATTTGCTGGAAACACAATGTTTAGCACTATTCACAACTCCCCAGACATTGAATTAGTCCATGCAGTAAAGATTTGGACAACATTCAGGTTTCAGCCAATGAATGGTATGGAACATGAGCATACGTGTGTCAAACAAGTGCAAGGTAGAACTTAATCAGCTTTTGGTGACTGGGGTTTGAGATTCACTAATTAGAAGACACAGGTCAGGAGTGTGATGGAATACTTTCCACTTTGCTTGATGAGTGCAGCTCTAACAACGTTCAAGAAGCTTGGCATCATCCAGGAAAAGCAATTTCCTTCATTGCCATCTCATTTGCCACTGATGCTTTGTGGCAGCAGTGTGCATCACCTTTAAACTAAGATGCACTGTGGCAACTCACCAAAGCACTCTTAACTGCATCTTCTAAAAGGTGCAACATCCAGCAGATAAGTGGACAACGGAAGCAAATGCCCGAGACCACCACCACCTCGAATAGGCCCTCCAAGTCACACAATGTCTTTAATTGGAATTACCATAGTTCCATCATTGTTGCTGCATCAATATTCTTGAACTCCTTCCCTAACAACAATGGATTGTACCTACAGCCTACAGCAATTAAAGAAAGCAGTTCGCATTACTTTCTCAAGGGAAATTAAG